GGAGCAGGAATCAAAGCAAAAGCGGCCAGGATTGCGTTCTGTTACTCTGTCTACTGGATTTGGAGGACCCGCAATGCCACTATTTTTGACGGCCTTATCCCTAAGGAGGATGATGCGTTTGCTAGAATACAATACATTGTGTATAAAATCCTGTATAACTTGTATCCGCATAGCCTTGTAGGTTTTTGATTGTTCCTTTTGCTCGGCCTCCAACTTGTGTTTGTGTTTGGCCGTGCCTTTGTTGCTGCCAGTGAGGGATGGGCTATCCTTGTAGGTATGCCTTCATTTTTGTTTCCTTTTGTTTGTACATTCTGAACCTTTGGTTTCTTGGATGATTTTTTTTATATATACTTACATTTCATCCAAAAAAAAATTAAAACATAAAATGAAAAAAATCACTTGGAAATCTTTGATGCATTCCATTACTGTTGAGGAGGAACATAAGAAAGCGGGTTATATTGCGCCTGTTGAATTTCAACCGAAGGCTCATGTTATAACTGGGGGAAAGCAAGCACATAACTCTAAAAATAAGCAACCATCATCTTTTAAACCAATAAAGGCCAAATTAAAAATTGCAAAGAAACCAAAGACAAACCGGCCATGCTGGAACTGTGGACAGATGGGGCATTGGGCCAAATTATGTCCAAATAAGAAGGCCAAGGCTCAATCTGGGGGACCTCAAGTCAACATGGTGACTGGAGGGACTAGTTCTAATGGGTATGTTTCTATTAATCCTCAAATTTTCACCATTTATAATTCCAATGAGTGGCTAATAGATACAGGAGCGAATGTGCATGTATGTGCTGATAAATCGCTCTTTGTTTCTTATCAGCCTGCGGTTGGAAGAACAGTGATGATGAGGAACACAAGTGCTGCAAGTGTGCAAGGAATTGGAAAAGTAGAAATAAAATTCGCTTCGGGAAAAATTCTATCTTTGCATGGAGTGCATCACGTTCCCGAAATTAGAAGGAACATCGTTAGTGGTTCCATTCTAGTTAGGGAGGGTTATGAGTTGTCTTCTAAATTAAATAAAGTTGTAATTTTATTTGGCGGAACTTTTATTGGCAAGGGTTACTTGTCTGATGGACTTTTTAAAGTTATGGTTGATTATTTAGAATTAAATTATGTATCTGAGAATTGTGATTCTTCAACTTTATGGCATTATCGTTTGGGTCACGTTAATTTAGATTCTGTGAAAAGAATGATGAATTTAAATTTAATTCCTAAGCACTCTATTGATAAAACTAAGAAATGTATGGTATGTGCTACTACTAAACAAGTAAGAAAACCATATCATTCAATTGATAGAAATTCAGAATTACTTGATTTAGTTCATACCGACATTTGTGAGTTTAATGGAGTTCTTACACGTGATAAGAAAAAATACTTTATCACTTTTATTGACGATTATTCTAAATACTGTTATGTGTATCTACTTAAGGGTAAAGATGAAGCTCTTGAAAAATTCTTAATTTTTAAGAATGAAATAGAGAATCAAACTGGCAAGAAAATTAAAAGGTTAAGGTCTGATAGGGGAGGAGAGTATACTTCTAATTTAGTTGTACTGGAATGCCAAAAATATGGTATAGTACATGAGGAAACACCTCCTTATTCACCACAATCAAATGGAGTAGCTGAACGGAAAAATAGAACTTTTAAAGATATGATTAATAGTTTATTAGAGAATTCTGGATTACCTAAATTTATGTGGGGGGGAGCCTTGAATACGGCATGCCATATTTTGAATAGGATTCCCATGAAGCATAAAGATAAGTGTCCATTTGAACTCTTGACAGGCAGAAAACCAAGTTTGAAATATTTTAAGGTGTGGGGCTGTCTTGCAAAAGTATTAGTCCCTGAACATAAAAGAAAGAAACTTGGGCCTAAAACTGTTGATGCTATTTTTATTGGTTATGTTGAACATTCTTATGCAATGAGATTTTTGGTTATTAAATCTGAAATTTCTGGCATAGATGTCAATACTATTGTAGAATTTCGTGATGCTACTTTCTTTGAAGATGTTTTTCCAATGAAAACGGGTGTGCCCCAAAATACTTCTTTTGAAAATCAAGAAACTACATTTACTTCAATTCCTGATCAAGTGGAAAAGATGACAAATGTGGGGGTAGAATCTGGTAGTTCTAGTCATATTGATTTTAAATCAAATGATCTAGATGAACCGAGAAGGAGCAAACGAGCTAGAATCACTAAGGATTTTGGAAGTGATTTTATCACTTACAATATTGAGGGTGATCCAATTTCCTTTAGAGATGCAATGGCCACGTCTGAGGCCATGTATTGGAAGGATGCCATTAAAAGTGAAATGGACTCCATTGTTCAAAATGGAACATGGGAGCTTGTTGATCTTCCTCCCGGGTGTACTACTATTGGATGTAAATGGATTTTTAAAAAGAAGCTAAAACCAGATGGAACCATTGATAATTATAAGGCCAGATTAGTTGCTAAGGGTTATAAACAAAAAGAAGGTATTGATTTTTTCGATACATATGCTCCCGTTGCAAGAATGACCACAATAAGAATGCTTATAGCATTGGCCTCCGTATATGGTCTTAAAATTCATCAAATGGATGTTAAGACAGCTTTTCTTCACGGTGACCTTGAAGAAGAAATTTATATGGATCAGCCTGAGGGATTTGTGGCAAAAGGCAATGAGAGAAAAGTTTGTAAATTAGTTAAGTCTTTATATGGACTTAAGCAAGCCCCTAAGCAATGGAACGAAAAATTTGATAAAGTAATTTCTTCGTTTGGATTTACTCTTATAGATGCTGATCAAAGTGTTTATTATAAATGTAAAGGTGATATAAGTATTATTTTATGTCTATATGTTGATGATATATTATTATTTGGCGCTAATGATAATATTATTTTTGAGACTAAGTCATTTTTGAAAACAAAGTTTGAAATGAAGGATATGGGGGTGGCGGAAGTAATTCTTGGGCTAAAGTTGACTAGATCAACCGAAGGCATTTCTATATCTCAGTCTCATTATATTGAAAAATTAATTGAGAAATTTGGATTTAAAAATAGTAGAATTGCTAAAACACCCTATGATCCTTCTGTAGCTTTGTATAATAATGAAAGTGGTGTTCCTGTGTGTCAATTAAAATATTCTCAGATGATTGGTAGCTTGGGTTACTTAGCTAACTGCACTAGACCTGATATTGCATTTTCAGTGTCTAAACTTAGTCGGTACACTTGCTGTCCAAACAGAACTCATTGGGAGGCCTTAGATAGAGTATTTAGATATTTGAAAGGAACTATTTCCTTGGGTTTGCATTATGGTAAATATCCTCCTGTTCTTGAAGGATATAGTGATGCAAGCTGGATAGCTAAGAACTCCGGGAGTTATGGGTGTACCGGCTATGTGTTTACGTTTGGTGGTGGGGCTGTTGCTTGGAAGTCCACTAAACAAACTGTACTTTCTCGGTCTACTTTTGAGGCCGAATTATGTGCGTTGGATACTACAGGGATTATGGCTGAATGGTTTAAGGGACTTATGTCCGAGTTACCTATATTCAGCCAGCTAATTCCACCTATTTGTTTGCATTGTGATAGTATGAGTACAATTGCAAAAATTAGGAGTACCAAGTATAATCAAAAGACTAGGAGACACATTCAAGTTAGATTAAAAACTATAAGGAAATTTGTTTCTCAGGGAGTGTTTGCTGTTGATTTTGTTGGATCCAAAGATAATACAGCAGACCCTTTAACAAAAGGACTTGATTTAAACCAAGTGATAAAATCAAGGTTAGGAATGGGGATGAAACCCAATAATTATTCATCTACGGTAGCAACCCAACCTATCTGAGTGGAGATCCCATAAAGTAGGTTCAATGTGGTATAAACAAACTGTAGAGTGAATTGTGCATCTCATTAAAATAATTTTACGAGTTCCATTCCTTGAAAAGCCTTAGAGATGCTGAAATTGCTAAGTTAGTAAGAGTTTAAGACTCTGAATGGGATCGAGCTTTAATAGCAGAGTGTTAGCAATGCACTCTTGGAGATGCCCAACTATGAGAATGTTATTGTGTGGCCGCAATAAGAGAATAAGGGTTAATTCTCGACAACATTCTTGAGATAGGATCAGGACGCATGGCCGTAAAGCGTCAACCCTATAGATCATTGCCAATGCCGTTAGTGTGTTGCTTTTATCCCACGCCAACACAATCAAGGTTCGAGTTCAAGAACTCTGTTCACTCAGTTCCTGTGGGGGTTAGGGGTAATAGCTTAGAACTTGGTTCAAACCGGAAGGTACCATATTCGAAAGCACACTATGTCTTAGAGTTGAGTCTACAACTATGGATTTGTGGGGGATTGTTGAAAATATGATGAAATAAATTATTTTGAGTGGTCCTATTTTGAGTCCTAAGATATATGTGTAATATAAATATATGTAATGAGAGTGGCTTATTATCAAAGTATAACTTTTATACTTGGTGAATAGAATCCATAGTTGTAAAAGTTGTAAAGTGAAATATTAAAATGGTGAATTATTGTCCTATATCTTAAATATAAAGGATACCATGTGATAAGGAATATCATTCAAGTATCATATAAGGTGACTTAAAATATTATTCCATACTTTCAGGCCCGTTTGGGATGATCTAGAATTGTATGGGAAAATGTTTCAAGTTGAAAGAATATTTAATTTATGGACAATAATCCTGAGATGTTTTATTATCTTATTAAGATAATAAGCAATAGCTTTAAAGCTGGTCTTGGACGTTTTCAAAATAAATTTGAATTGTCCAGTTTTGTCATCTTAATAACATGATAATCACTAGCTTTAAAGTTGTTTTCGGACATTTTAAAAATTGAATTTGAATGGTCTGAGATAAGTAATAAGCCTGGTCAACATTCGTTTAAGGATCATTAATAATTAGATCATGGAACAACTGTTACATCTCATTCATATGCTTGTATTAATTCTGATTTTCAACGTGTATGAGAAAACACTGCATGCTCCTTTTTTTTTTTGAATCCTTTCGTGCAATCAGAGTGATAGCTAGAGAAAAGAATACTCCTCTCATCTCCGTACAAACAAAACAAAAGAAAACCTATACATATATTCATTTGTTGGTTTGCTGGGTTGATCCAAAAAGGATTATATTTCCCTTCTTTCCAAGAGCTATAAGATCCATAGTTCTTTTGTGTGAGGGTTTCTTTTCAACAAAAAGGCAACCGGGCAACGGTCGAAGGTTTCAGTCGAGGTAGCTATAAGTCTGAAACGTGGTAGGATTATTCTGGGAGCGAGCTAGCCAGACCCGTCCGAATAGCTATCGGGATACGGGGGCTATCTTTCTTCAAGGCCAATCCGTCTTAACGGACGATCCTGCGATAAGTTTTCTTATCCTTTCTATTTATTCATTTTGTTAATATTCTAATTATTATTATTTTTATTTGTTCTTGCATTTGTTGGTTTGTCTGGTGATTTGTATAAACTCGGGATTTTTATCTGGTTAAACTCGCACTTTTTAATATCAATTTTCTAACAAATAGCACGGGGTTTCCTTCTGTTCAACAAAACAATACTAGGAAGAGATCATCCAACAAGCTTAAAAATCAAGGGGGAAATAGGTATCGATGTGTTCCGTTTACAGGGGCATCAAATGGTTTTAAACTTATCATCGAAAGCAAATCATTTTGTTTCAATATTATGGATTGCAATAATATTCGTATATGTGAAACGAAATGCGATATTTCATCTTGTGTTGTGCTTGATAGTGAAAGCATCATTTGGCTAAGGGACTCCATTTCTGCTCTTCTTTGTGATAATTGGTCTTGCACCCAATTTGAGCTCAAGAATTCTTTTGCTATTTTTCATGATGCTAATTGCTTTGGCGGTTTCTTCCGTATCATTGAGCGGGGTGGCAAATCTTTGTATATTCTCGAGGGAAGGAATGGTCTAGGGATTAAGCTCTTTCTGTCAGGGATTATGAAATCACTTATATTGTTGAAAGAAGTCAAAGAGCCACCTCTACTACTTGATCATGGTCCAGGAAAAAATACTAATTTTGAGTTTGACCTTGTCGCCCTGGATAGACCTTCCTCCTTATGAGCTCTCAATTTCTGGCACTCTTTTTCAAATTGATGTTGAACGGTCTGACTTTTGTGCCCACACTTTAGCGTTGAGCTCTGAAATTGACTCCTCATTATCACATATTAAGGATTTCTTTCAAACCACTATGACTCAAGGGGTGGACTCACTTTCTCAATTTTTAATCAAAGAGTTTGAAAGAATCATTGCAGGTAAACACGGTGAGGAACAACACACTACTTATTGTACACCCACAGAAACTCTAAGGAATGCTTCTCTAAGTAGCCGTCAAAAGGGACCTATGGAAATAGGGAAAGCTACTAGGTGTACAATGCCAGACAATCCAATGGAGGCTTATAGAGGTTATCAACAAGGTTTTGCTTTTGATGAAGCATATAGTGATTCGTTCTTTTCACATACGGAGAATGAATATCTTGGTCATGCTTCAGAAAATGAGAATAGGGTTCCATTCTCAGCGGTAGAAGATCTGTGGGACTCTGATGAAAACAGAGAAATTTGTCACAAAGCTTTGTTGATCACAAGTGAAAATTACTTACCTACAAGTAATTTGAACACTAGCATTGGAATGTACAGGAAGAGTAAGCGGCGGTCACATCATATGAGGACAAGATCTCAAACCCGCGAGAAACCTTGATCGGAGGGTCTACTTTTGAGGGGGGTTTATTGTGCTGTGGGTTGGTTTTATTTCCTTTCTCATTATTTTCATTATTTCTTTTTCCTTGCTTTGTAGTTGTACTTTCTTTTTCATTAATAAAAAAAACTTGTTTGAGCGGAAAAAAAAAATTGAATAAGTCGGGTTTCAAATTAAGCTGTGAATAAGTATGACTTAATGAATTAAGGTTTAAATCACTACATCCTAATTGAACTACTTTAGTCACAACTCACAAGAAAACAACGCCTAACCATCTCTTGAGGCTGTTTGTATTGGGGCCTTGAGGTATTAGAGGACTAGAGGGATAGGGGTCATTCCGTCAGAGGGTAATTTTAATGATATTTACTACGTCCTCCGCCCTCTGAAAATTCTTCCCACTTTTCTTTTTGGGACGTCCCAAAAAAATCTTCATATTTTTCCATTTGGAAAGTTTTGTGTGGTTATCATTCATTTACATTTTTCTTACTCAACCATAATCATACATTTGCACTTTACTCTCACTTTCTTAAACTCTGATTCAAGTCAAACTGGGAAGAATTTTGCTATAGAGAGGAAATATTTACTACTCGGGTATATAAAAAAAAATGTGTGCGTAATTCCCCAGTTCAAATTCCTTTCAACATAGATACCCCAGCCTGCTCTTTTTACATCAGAAAATCCTAAATCAAACAACCACACAAGGTGTAACCGGTAAGTTAAGCACAAGCAATCAGTTGGTCAAAAAAGAAGGAAATGAAAATCAAAGCAATAATTCCATCCGTTGCCCAGACTTATAATCAAGTCTCCTACTTATATAAAGAGTCAGTTGGATGCCGTCGAAAAATTTCCACCCTTTTTCTGTTAAACCAACTTTCCGTCTCCGTTGTTCCTTGTGTCCGTCTTTTTATCTTTCCCTTTGTTCGTTTTGATTTGACGTCACCCATTCTCGAACCACAGTTCCCTCCTAAGCCTCTTTGTATATCTCCTTCTCCTTGTGCCCTGCTTAATTAATAGGGAATTTTTCACAAACAGACTAAAAACAAAAGTAATATCACTTTTTCCACTTTTAAAGTTTCTTTCAAAAATGGACCCGTTAAGTTTCTCTTTTCATAAATAGACCTTATACTTAAAACCAAGCCACTGGAACGGGGAACCTATGCTCCAAACAAACGTGCATGCAGCGTGCCCAGTAGACTAGCTACCTCTCTAAACTCTACTTATTAAATTTATACAATCTCCATGAATTACTTTATTCACGTATTTAGCTTTGAAAAAATGTAAATATTTATTAAACTGTAAAAAAGGTGAAGATAATTGGAAAATAATAAAAGTATGAAGATAATAAAAAATAAAAAATAAAAACATAAACGAAATTTAAAAAAAAAAACTTGAAAACAAACAAATAAAAAAGTTTAAGTTAGTTAAAGTGTGGGGGAAATGTAAAAAAGGTTCAAAGTTTGGTTTTTATATTGTAGTTTTCTTAGATAGTTAATATGATTTGTATAAAGAAAAATAAAAATCGAATTTTTCATAAAATGTATTAAATGGTTAAACATTAAAAAACTTACAACTATAAACAAAATATTTGAAATGAGATAAAAATAGTTTTTACGAAATATAAAAGTAGTATTTTTGAAAAAAAGAAAAAAAAAACTATTCGCATTCAAAAACAAAAATCAGATAAATATACTCCCTCCGTTCTTTAATAAAAGTCCTTCTTTCCTTTTTGGGACGTTTTTTTTATTTGTCCTCCTTTCCATTTAAGGAAAGTTTTTACTTTAAATATACCTTTATACCCCCACTTTTATTACTATTACCCCTTTCTCTTTTCTACTTTTTCATTTACTCACTACTCATTACACCTTTTACACTACCCCTACTATTTTCCTCTTAAAACCCGTGCCAAAGCCTAAGAGGACTTATATTAAAGAACGGAGGGAGTATAAATTTTAAAACATTCCAAAATTTTATATAACAATAAAATATATATATATATATATATATATATATATATTAAATAATGTTTTTTGGTATTTTATAAGAAGTATTATATAGAATTATAAAAAATTGAAAATTAATTCCCCTTAAATAGTGTAAAATTAAAATACACTAAGAGGGAAAAAATGAAAAGTTGAAATTAAAAAACATGAAAAAATTTAAACAAAATTACAAGGTACTTGTTTTTAATGTAAAGTTTATTAAAATATACATAAATTTTGAATTAATATTATCATCATCAGTTTGTTTTTAGTTTTTTTTTTTCATATGGTTTTCTTGTGTTTCTTTTTGTTGACAATTGTGGAATTTTTGTTTTTTATTGCTTTTAGTTTTTTTCCATATTCACATAACGGAATTTAACATTTTAAGTGTTTGCATCTAAATCTATATAAATATTTCTATGTTAAGGATGTAGAAAAATAAATACACATCCAAATAAACAAAAATCTGAATCAATAATAAAAAATACTCTGTATGTATTAATAAGAAACACGGTGCAACATAAAGTAACAAGATGCAACAAAACGTAATACATGTGGTACAACAAAAAGCAACAAAAGTGATACTACATGTATATAATAATATCACAACAAATATTTTCCTAGACTATAAACAAGTCTGAAATAACATAATAGGACGAATAAGCCATGACAAAGTATATGGGTCCTCCTAGTTAGGGAGACACTAATATGTGTGCATAAATTAATGAGTGGAGCATCCAGTATGACCATATCTTGGTAGGTTTCCCTCGAGGCAAAGCACAACATTCCTTTTGGAAGCTCAGGCTGTTCAAATGGACAACAAGGTGTCTTTGATGCACCCATCTCCCCTTTTACATGCGCCTTCACATCTTTTTCAACATCCTTTTCATCACACCAAGGAGCCAAGATTAACTTCTTGTCATTCAGAGCTTTCACAAACTCATTCCATATCTTAGCAACTTGGACACGTGCATTTCTCTTGCATATCTTACCAAGTCAGCATGCCTTTCACATCCTCAGCAATGCTTCCATGGGAATATCAATTTTAGCCTCGTTATCATGCCTTACAACTCTTAGCTGTTTATTTATAAGTAAATAAAGTACATGAAGCAGAAAACAAAAGCATATGGCTGAAGGGATACTAATACCTAAAGATCTATCAAAAAGAGTAAACCTAATGATAAAATCACCTATAAACAACAATAAGAAACATAATGCAACAATAGCAACAAGACGCAACAAAAAGTAACACTTCCGAAGCAACAAAAAGCAACAACATTATACAAAGGGCTACCATATAGTATAAATCGATTACACTAACATTCACAGTTAATATGAGAACTTAGGCAACCTAACATAAATACGTAGGGATTTATATAAATCCACAACAATATATCACAACAGGTTTATAAATCACAATAACATAGCATTTCACGTGATGCTATACGGCAAAGTACACAAGAAAGGCAAAGAAAGTTGGATTTATAGTTGCATATGCTCACAACAAGCATTCCATCGATCAAACGCTCAATGTTTGGGATGTCTCTCTTCTCTTTCTCTTACATACAATGGAAAACAATCCAATATCAAACAAATAAACAAATATACATCAATTAACCATTACTACCTATTAATAATCTTTACCTTCATGCATAAAACACTGTAAATGTAACTTGGAATTCCTATATCTAGTGCCAAAGCAACTGCCAAACCACCATCCAAGCTCCATGGCAATGCAGCAGGTCCCACCTTTATTACAACATTTGAAATTTGGAAGAATGCATTAGTAACTGAAAACTAATCAATAGTCATTCGAGTTCAGACGTTTAGTATGTAAAACTATTACTTTGATATCATCTTTGCCTCGGCAGGACCTAAGAAATCATCCTCATCTGGCCAAAACCCAACTTGGGCTGAAGCCACCACCAATCCCAAAACCTATTCCGGCTTCGTTGAAGTTTGTAAGCATATATAGTAAATGAAGGGTTTCAGGACATGCAAATACTAAAAACTATGAGAGCAGTCCCCATTTCAATACAGTGGACAAGGTCATAATAATTATCATTATTCATTTATTCCCTTTTTGAATTTTTTTCAAAGTAGCTTGAACAACATCTGACTTTACATCCAAGCAATCCCAAGCATATTCTCTACACCAGCTTAAAGCTTCTCGTAAACAAACAATTCCTCTAAGACACTTTTCCTGACCAACGCTTAGCTGCCCAGGCAACAAACTCCCCAGAGCTATTCTTAGCTACCCATCAAAATCCTCAAACATCATCCTTCATTGATGCGTCTGTGTTAACCATCAACCTACCAACACTTGGATAACACCAAATGGTTGGACTTGGCTGCAGCTCTCCCCTGCTTGAAGTATTAGATTTCGGAGCCATTTTCCATCCACTATAGAAGCCATTAGCAACCTACTGAAATACCTATAGACATCAATCTATGTCCTTGCCAAACTCTTCTGTTTCTTTCACTCCACAAAGCCGAAAAACCAACAATGAATCCACAAAGTTCCTCCTCCCTCCACTGCTGAAAAATAAGATAAATCCAGTCCTGAAAAGTAATAGCCGCCAAAGCCAAATCTCCCCAATTTGTTTCCTTCCAAACTTCTGCCGCAACTGGACAATTAGCAAATAAATCTAGCAGCGATTTCTGAAATTATTTTACACACCTAATGCAGGGAATTTCTCTGTCTCTGTTAATCAATTTAAGTATCGAAATCACCTAAGAGTATGAAATAAGGCATAGACAACAAACCAAACAGATTTCATACATGAATCTAATGAAGGAAATTATAACGCCTTTAGATGATGATGAAGATTTACATTAAACGTGTTTGCGAGCCCGATAAACTGACCAAACATGAAAGCTGTGAATCCTTTGATTGATCCGCTCCTTTAGGAAAGTTAGGATTTCCCGTTTGGTTCTTCCTGCCAAAGATGGGAGCCCAAGGTATTTTGCCCCTTCTTCTGCCAGTCGAACCTGAAACATGTCCAGACTACCTTCCTGAATTCCCCTTTCAACATTGGCACTAAAAGCTAGGGTAGATTTACTGAAGTTGATTTTCTGTCCTGAGGCAAGCTCGCAATCATGGAGTACTTCCTTAATCACTGAACACTCTTCATGGGAAGCTTTAAAGAAAAAGAAGCTATCATCT